CCTAATTCTGTGAATTCCATTGCGTTGCAACTTGGGTCGTGACGTAATGACCAAGGACAAATGTGGGTCCTGAGGTTACACAGGTTGAGAACCACTCGTCGAGGTGGATCAACTCTATTATTAGCTTTTTTAATTTGTTAATAATGGGGCCTTTTTTTATATATTATGATGGGCTTTCTCAGAATGTTTTCTAGTTGTTTAACGTGGCGGTTGTAATTTGTAGTCCATACCTGTTAAGTTTTATTGTCAAATACTTGAGTAACTGTCTTAGACCCCATTCACACTGAGCGATTATATAGCGCGATTTCAGCTAAAAAATCGCTCAAACATCAGCTCAATTTAGCTCAATGTAGCTCGTCCAATGCATTTCAATGTCCCCTGTAGCTTGAAGTTCAAGCTTGTCGCTTCAACATGACCTATTTTTCCAGCGGATTATGTGCGATTTGGTCCAAGAGACTTCAATGGTGTAGCTCAGTGTCGCACGAATTTGCACGACATTGTCGCGCTACATTGCGCTACAGAAGTGTCACTTTTGCACAGAAATATAAGCAGCAAACAGGAAGAGGAATTATGTCACATCAAGACCGCTTTTCATTGAATACAGTCCAATGTGGCAGCTACGAAGTCCATGCCAAAAGTAGCGCTACATAGCGAGACAACATGTGCACTGTAGCTCAATGTCTCTCAAAGTCGCTCAGCTCAAATCAGCGCTGAAAAAGCTCAAAGTGAATGGGGTCTTATAGTCAATTAATTTCTCATCTAATTTGTTTCTCATCTAATTTCAAGGCCTGTAATATTTCATTATCTAAAATGGAGCTTTTTTTTTTAATCCATTCTGCTCAAAACAATCTTTTAAAACTTTTGCTTGTTCTCGCGTAATTCCGATAAGTTGCCCCTTAGGTGCATTTCGAATCCAAACAGAGTGATACCAGCTTTTAGTGTACATGTAGCTTTTGTGGACTACATATTTAAAAAAAAAATGAGTGCATAATTTATTATCATTTATCTATTTACATCCGAAAGTTCCGAAGAAAAAAAAAAAGGATAAGGTTTGTGTCCCTCCTCCATTTTTTCCCGGACTTTAACATGACTGACCATAGGAAATTGAATGTGAATGGACACATGTCCTTTCACATCTGGCTGCCCAAATAACTAACACAGGTCTAGGAAAGTTAACACCAAACTTAGGAGTTAAATCTTTAAAATACATTGAAGTACCTCAAATATCAATACTGGACCTTATTTGTGTATCACTCGGCTGTAGATGCTCAAATCATCTCTGAAATGGTGCTGACACTGTCCTTCCTTCTGGAGGGTGGCTACTTTTTTTCCCCATGGTCCCTGTGTGTGTTGTAAAGTAGCCACCGCTCTAAGCTCGCTCCCATGATGGACTACAATCTCATATCTAGTTTACTAATTTGTATTGATGTTATAGTCTATGACGGGAGTGAGCTTGGAATGATGGTGTCAGCATGAATTCAGAGATCTCAGTGCTCCCTAAGATCAGGCAGTCAGAGGATGTCTTTAGAGGTTGCAAACTTCCCATAGTCATACAAGCCTTTCGGAAACAAACGGCTTACAGTACCTTCCTGCAATCAGTTTGAATAGGCAATGATCATCCTGTGTCTCAACCATCATGGAAGAGATGATTCACCGTGGGTGATACATTGCCTATCTTCTCTGCCTGTGCTTGTGAACGCTCTGCTCTCTTTTTTTCACCTGATTTTTGAGTATGCTTTACATGTCAGTATAGTTGACATTGGCAGTCTAAAAATAATTTGACTGCTGCATGATTATCTGTCACAATATAAATTATTATTAAAGTCGGAAATGTGCTTGTGATGAGCAGTATTATGCAACATCTGCAGTAATTAGGCCAGTGTGGGCTTTAGTTTCATAGTAAACATTTGCTAATTTCCTTTTCATCTCTGTTTTGACAGGATTCTGTTCCTTTTAATAAATTAGAAGCATTTCTCTGTCTAGCGTCCAGACCAGTGTTTATAGCAGGAGATGGTATCATTTCATTCTTTCTGTCAGAAGCCTTGGAGGCTATGATTAATGTTTTTCTATCATTATTAAAATTGTTTAAATATTGAATATATTTTCTCCAAGTGCATCCTTAATATGTTATGTTAGTTTTATTTATAATTATTAATCAATTAAAATGATCCTGTCAATTACAGATCTATAGTTATTATAATATTAGATGTGTGGCCTGCACTCACAATGTTTGAATTATTTATCTATGAAGAATTCAGTTAAGTTGGTGCCCTGAGGTCCTGGTCCTGGGCCATAGTTAAGGTGAAGATCCTGTCTGGTTCCAGAGAAATGCTAAAAACTGTTTTTTTGGTTAATTGCTCCAGTTGCAATTACAACATTAGCTCATAAGCAGAAGATATGTTGTTACCGTAGTATTTTATATATGACTAGCAAAAGAGTGCCCGTTTGAGCACAGAAGAGTCAGTGATCAAACAAACTATCTGCTGTCTTGTGAGTTTGAGTTGGGACAAGTGATGGCAAGGTATATACTAAATAGCATAATAAACATAGTGTGGGGTATAGAATGTACAGCATATTGTACATAGTGGAGTGCTGAGCAGTTAGGAATGTACAGTACAGAGTTGGAGCATTGTGAGTTTCTATAGTGTACATCCCAGTTTACAAAATGCCGCAATGTGGAGTATCTAATGTACAGCACAGGGTACAGAGTGGATCAATGTGATGTGTGTAAAGTACATCATAGTGTACAGTATATAATGTACAGTACAAGGTGAAAAGTATATAACAAACAGCACAGAGTGGAGTATATAATGTACAGCATAATGCACTTTCAGGAAAACGGTACATGGATTTGAGCCACCAGCACTTCATAAAATTTGCACAATAAATGTATGATACATGGCTTCAGGAATAGTGTAATAGCATGGCATTCACAGCATAAAGAGGACCTCCAATGAGTAAGTGAAAGCAGATGCCCTTGTAGTAAGCTGTGATACAACAGTGTTGGAGTTTAGATCTTTTATTTGTATTTTTTCTTAACACTTACGCAGTGTGCACCTCATCACAACAAAGGGCTGCAATATTCATAGAGACAGAGCTAGTCCATGGAACCCCCGGCTCTAATGTTTTTTTTGTCCAATTAGGATGAAGGTTCTGGACCACGTGATAAGTAAACCACTCCCTCTGCGCATCATTACCGCGTAACGGATATATGTGGCACAGTGCTGTGTACTGTGCATGCCCATACTCTGGTATTGGTGTTCTAAGGGATATGAACCATTAATGTATCACAGGCATGTGAGGCTTTTCATGGTGCACTGTGTATTCCCTTTAGTATGTAATGCTGTATGGTGGGAGAAGATTTAAGTAACCCCTGATATTTTTCCTGGGACCCATGAGTGGTGCACCTCTGTTGAAGACTGCCTGCAGTTGTAAGATCTGAAATACTTTGGATTGTCTGGGTTACTGTAACAGTTTCATCAGTGACCATGTGTATTTTCAGAGTGAGCAGTGTATAGATTTATAAAAGAAACTCCAGCTTCTTGCTAAAAAGTGTTCACAACCCTAACATATGAAACAGGTAATACACATTTGGGAATTTTGTAATACAGTTAACGGAAGTTATGTAGCTTGGCCCCTCTATGCATACAAAATTCAACTTTAATCTTTCACCAATCAAGTGGTTGACCAATTTACTCCAGAGCATAGACCAGAGACCTGGTTTATTTCTCTACACGTATACATTTCTTTACTATGCAAAAACTATACAGTAACCGCCTTGATGCAATAAGTAACATGTAGGTAAAAGGAAAACTCATCTATCAGATTTATTGCTATCCATATAGCCATCATAATGGCAAAAAATGGAAAAACTGGTGCATCTCATGTCTGCTGTCTGTTCCACCATCACTGAACCCCAAGAAAGTGTAGGATACGTGTTTGCATCATCCATCATTGAACCCCAAGAAACAGTAGGATACGTGCTTGCGGCATCCATCATTGAACCCCAAGAAAGAGTAGGATACGTATTTGTCTCATCCATCATTGAACCCCAAGAAAGAGAAGGATACGTGTTTGCTTCATCCATCATTGAAGCTCATGAAAGAGAAGGATACGTGTTTGCATCATCCATCATTGAACCCCAAGAAAGAGTAGGATACGTGTTTGCATCATTGTACCCCAAGAAAGAGTAGGATACGTGTTTTCATCATCCATCATTGAACCCTCAAGAAAGAGAAGGATACGTGTTTTCATCATCCATCATTGAACCCACAAGAAAGAGTAGGGTACGTGTTTGCATAATACATCATTGTACCCCAAGAAAGAGAAGGATACGCGTTTGCGTCATACATCATTGAACCCCAAAAAAGAGAAGGATACGTGTTTGCGTCATCCATCATTGAACCCCAAGAAAGAGTAGGATACGTGTTTGCAACATCCATATAATAAATGAGTGATCCAATAAGTAAGATGTAGGTAAAAGGAAAACTCGTATATCAGATGATTTAGCGCTATCCATATAGCCATCATAATGGCGAAGATGGAAAATGTAATATCTGCTGTCTGTTCCACTGTCATGGAACCCCAAGAGAGAGTAGGATACGGGTTTGCAACAGCAGATGTGAATACTGTGGAATAGAATAGAAATAAGACCACTATCCTTTAATATTATGTGTCCTCTGTGTCAGAATATACAGTCCACAGAAAATACATGGTTTGGGGGTTGAGTGCCACTGCTGCCCTGATTCTTAAAATGCTGTTTTCCTCGTCACTATGCAGATTTTGTGGCTGTCACTGACCCAGAACAGACCTGAAGATCAGGAGTTGGGCTCACTCTACCTTTGCTTGCTGCATGCTTGTTCTGGATTGTTGATGTTCTATGCTTTCACGTTATTTAAAATATGCCAGTAATTTGTTTGGCTCATAAAATATTCCACTGACTTTGTGACATCTAATAATGAACAGACAATTTATTCTTTCACTGTTTTTATTTCTTACAGATATTCAGGAATGGGGTGAACTGAAGCAATTTTTTGAAGCGCACTATTCTCAGATTTATTTTATCTTCTATGAAAACTTCATTACACTGGAAAGTAGCCTAAAAGTTAAAGGTAACTCTCCATGTCTTTATGTATTGTTTGTATGTTATTATGTATAAATGGCTACATGTAACCCACAATGTATTAACCCTTTCGCTGCCAAGCCCTCCGGAACATTTTTCAAATCAGCTGGCCAAGCCATTTTTGAATTTTCTGCAATTTTTTCCTATTGATTTGATTTGCTGCGGCGAAATATCTGGGGTCTAAATAGACCCCTGACATTTCCCTTTTGAAATAGAAAAAGAAATTGAGGACATAAGTCCTCAATTTCTTTTTCTGCAGCCCCTGAGAAGCCTCAGTACAGAGGCTTCTCATTCATTCACAAACTAATGATGGTAAAAATATTTTACTATCATTAGTTTCTGAATGGGGAGGAGCCTCTGTAGTGAGTGCTAGTCCCCATTCATAAATTCTTGAATGAACAGGCTGTGATGTAGATCGCAGCCTGTTCATTCATAACTGGGGACACATAGTACTATGTGTCCCCAGTTATTTACAAACACCGAAGTGATCAGACGGTCACTCCGGTGTTTGCTCTGCACTGATATTATATCATTGATATTTAACGATCCCCCACTCGGCCACGCTTCACAGAGCCGCTGTCATCCAAAAATTGACAGGATGACAGCGGCTCGGATCGGAACACCGCTCGGCCAACCTGAATTGCGGCCAGCCGCCGCTCATTCCCGGGACCCCCCCCGTCCCCCCCGCCGGTGATTTTTTTACGGATCCCCGCTGCCACAGACCCTACAAGCAGCGGGGATTTATGAAGTCTCTCATCCCTCCCTGGGATGGCTATAAGCTAAAGCTATAAGCTAAAGCGACCATCAGCTTATAGTAGAGCTGTAAATGCCAGGTCCGTACGGCATACTGAGCTGGCCAGCTGGAAGCACTTTTGTAGCTCCGTATGCCGTACGCCCTTGGCAGCGAAAGGGTTAATATGAAGTATACAGGTTTTGTGGTATTAGTTTCCCAGCCTTTCAAAGTATTTATGGAGCCAAGGTAAAGAAATGTGATAAAATGTGATCAGGCACTTGCTAAGTGTCAACAATTTGTCCTGAGATTTGTTTTTCACTGCCAATTTTTACATGGTATACTGAGTTGTTGCATCTGGCAGTCACTAACACCCTGTTTTGGCCTTGCAGCAGGCAAACATACGTTCTAATACAATTGCAGGGTAAAGAAGAGGAATGCCACAGAAAACATTGCCCCTTGTAGTGGGAAGTGAGCAGCAATGATAAGAATACATGCAGCCTGTGCGTTTGGCCATTTAATATTCAGACCACTTCAGCTGGTGACTTGGGTTGAAAGCATATGGCCAGAGGCCTCTCACTGGGCTTGTTCCGCAATTGCTGAGTCAGTCAGCATGAGGCGCGCGTCCCCTTCCTCACCATCCCGACTACCTTTGGTTATCACTGCTGTTGCTACACTGGGAAGGCAGGTTTTGGTTACAGGATGATGTTGAAGAACGCTCTCTGGATATCCCTCATTGAAGTATAGGGTGCAGTGCAGCAGCAGGATGTGAATAGTCGTCCAGGCCGCGGTCCCCTCCACTGTGCTGGGTCTCACTGTGCCCCTCTGGAAACGGCAGTTCAGACAGTACTAGATATAGCAGACCAGGTAAACCTCTCTCCGGGTCTGTTTTTTAAAGATTACACCCCACGGGGTAGGCCCTCGCAGGGTTTATAGCTCCCCTGTATAAAAGCCAGCAGCACACACAGATCCCCACAGTTTGCTGGCTCTCCCTGGACTGATCGCACTCAGGAACTCACGTTCAGCTCACCCCTCCTGTTCAAAAGCACATCCTTGTGGGAATTGTATTGTTTATAGTTCCTCACAACACAATCTTCCTTTGACTTTGAACTGCAACTCCCAGAAGTCTCTCTGTGTCACAGGCTGCACAGTAGCGCTGAACTATTTACAAGCAGGCATGTATTTAATCCTGTAGCAACTCAGGTAGGAGCTACACATGCAAAGAAGAAGCCATATCTGAACATGATCTACAAATGCCGCCTTCTTCTCTGGGCCAAAGCTCATTTAAAATGGTCTTTTGCAAAGTGGAAAACTGTTTCCGTGGTCAGACAAATCAAAATTTGACATTCTTTTTGGCAACCATGGGCTCCTCTCTGGACTTGGGCCTGGTTCACACCTAGGCGATTTATCCAGGAAATGTCGCACAAAACACAGATTTGCATTGAAGTCTATGGAAGCTGTTCACACCTTTTGCGATTTGTCGTGCTGTAGAAAACGCCAGTCACTCAAAAGGGTGCAGGAAATATTTTCGGCCAATTGTCGCCCCGTTTTGAGTCCCATAGACTTGCATTGAAAAATCACGCGTTCCGTTCAATAGACGATTTTGGGAGCGATAATCGCGGGATTACAGCATAACACAACATATGAGAGTTTCCAGACCTTAATCCTGTAGACAGCCAAGAAACCTTAAGGATTTAGAGAAGATCTGTAAAGAAGAGTGGACCAAAATCCCTCCTGAGATGTGTGCAAACCTGGCAACCAACTACAAAAATGTCTTGCCTCTGTGCTTGCCCACAAGGGTTTCTCCACCAAGTACGAAGTCATGTTTTGCTTCATGATCAAATACTTATTTAACTCATTGAATTGCAACTCGATTTATAACATTTGTATCATGTGTTGTTCAGGATTTTTGGTGGATATTCTGTCTCTATCATTTAAAAAACACCTATGATAAAATTATAGACCTTTCATTTCTTTGTAAGTGGACAAACTCACAAAGTGTGTGTGTGTGTGTGTGTGTGTGTGTGTGTAAAGCTGATTTTCTGTTATGTTCTTTTTTCAGGGAATAAATCTCAGAGGGAGGAGCTGGACTCCATCCTATTTCTTTTTGAAGTAAGTAATATAATACTATGTGATAATAAATGTGTAATGCAGAGTAAGTAGTAATTAGTCCTTTAACTGCCCTGGTCGTTGAGTGAGAAGGAATGCTAAGGACATTGATGACTGTGCAGCAGGGAGAATGCTGGCTAAAAAACATACCTTAAAGTAGTAATAAACTCTGAATCCTTTTTTCAATAATGAACCCAGATCAAACAAATATACATTGCCCCCCAAAGTATTTTATTTGTTACCCAAACACTTACATTGATCATGTTTCTGAACAACTCTCTCTCTCAGCTCTCCTTCCCTGAACTTCCTGTTAAGTTCATGATCATCAATAGTGATGGGCTCAGGCGTGTTCGCAGCTCCACGTGCCGAGCCAGCCAGGAAGCTGATAGCACGCAGCGCCAATCACAGGCACTGAGACATTTTCCAATCTCTGCAGCTGCGGACCGGAAACATGTCTCAGTACCTGTAATTGGCGCTGCACGCTGTCAGCTTCCAGGTGGGCTCGGCACGTGAAGCTGCAAACACGCCCGATCCCATCACTAATCATAAGGGACAGAGCTGTCTCCAGCAGCTGTCCATCTACTAGCTTGGAGGAAGGAGGAGCAGGGAACAGGAGAGCAGAGGAGTGGCTTGCCTTGTGTTTGTGGAGACACACACCGCTTACTAGCACACACAAGAGTGGCTCCATAGGACCCAACAAGGGAAAGGAGCCACCCTAAAACAGGATATCAGGTCCAGTGCTCAGGGGGGCCAATAGATTCTACAGAAAACTAAAACTTTAAACATCAAGGAGCAGCATCCATTGTAAATGTTTTTAATCATAATTTGAAATGGCTTAAAAACCTTTTGACTTTAATATGACTTTAAATGGACACATCACTCTTTTCCCATACAATAATTCCATCAGGCATTGTAGGAGGATTTTGGCTAAAACTACAGAGGGAGTCTTTGTGATTATCAGATGATACGGAATGTCAATGTTCCCCCATACTTTGGTTAGTTATTGACCACGAACTTGACCTTTACAATGCCTTGTTATCATTTGTACCAATAAACAATATTTGACTTAAAATGATGTGAGGAGATCTGCCATAGACTCTCACCTGGTTCAATGTACCACAATGCTTTTCATTTCTCTCAGTAGATGCTGACCTGTGTCCCTATGTGTCCTGTTGGCGTCTTGTTCAGTTCACTTACACATTTAGGTTAATGTCCCCGCTGTTTAGAAATTTACCACTATATCATGGCTCTGTCCTGCTGAGGATATTTAAGCATGTAAAGATGGATAGCATATTTGTGGTACTTCTAGGGAGAGCAGTACTTCATGGAGAGGGACATTTAGCTCAGACCAGTGAGTCATGTTGGCAGATACTTCTCGTGCTGTGTATCTATTTATGTTGACTGTTTTGCATGTTATGGGATTTAAAAGTCTGTTCAGCTGTTCTTATGATCCAGTCACCCCACCAGACAGCAGAAACAGATGCGGGCCTGTCTCCAGACTACTTGACGTTTGGATAATACAGCCTAGACCAGGTTTTGCCCCATCTGGAGAAATGTTCTTTGTAATGTTGGAGGGGGATTCCCAAACACACCTACTTAATATTCCTTGCTGCCTCATGCATACAAAAAGTTCAAACATCATCAGTATTAAGTTTTCCCCGAGCACCTACTAGATTTGGACCGGCCTTGGAATTCTGAATGTAATTGGTGATGCAGGAAGCAGAAAGTTGTTTTAGGAAATAACTCCCAAAGACTCTGTTAGGTGCTCATCAAATTCTGCCTCTAGTGCAGAAGGCCCTATTCACACCTAGGCGTCCCCTTTTTTAGGTGTTTTTCAGACTTTTGTTAATCATATTTGAGAATTTTTTACATGAATATATGCATGCTTTATAAGAGTTTTTGAGCGTTTTGCAGGCTTTCAGCTTCAGGTGTTTTTTTTCTATTATGCCCAATGGTAAGTAGTAGCATCTGTGATATCATGCAAAAACGCCCCAACAATTGCATTTGTGGGGTGGAGACAGCCAGCGCTGTCACAGGAGGCTGAGCTTCGCTCGCTCCTGTGACAGCTGTCAGGAAGGAGAGTGGGTACAAACACTCAGCAAACATTGATCTCTGAGTGTTGGTAAATTTATTGAGGACATAGTATGGTTACTATATCCTCAATTATGAAATAATGGTCTACATCACCTCCTGTTCATTCATAGTTGTGGTTATAGTAAACATACTATGTCCTCATGTTATGAATGAACAGGAACACTCAGTATAGAGGATTCCTGTTCATTTATAAAAAGGGCTGCAGAAAAAGAGTTCTCTTTTTGAGTTCTCTGTATTCTCAATCTCTTTTTCTATTTTAAAACTGAAATATCAGGAGTCTGTTTAGACGCCTAATATTTCCCCGAAGCCCCTAAAGGAAAAGTGAAAAATAAAAACATTTAATAAAAAATGAATAAATATAAAAAAATAAAATATTTAAAAAAATAGAAAAAGTTCAAATAAAACATTTTTTTTGGTTTCGGCCTGACATTTTTTTAAAATTACGGTTTTGACATTTTCATTTCAGTGCCCCTCTACTGTAAATGATATATGTATGGAAACTGCTGCTGCTCACCTTCTCTAAAAAAAAAGCTAGTTGCCTTTACTGTCTATGACTTTAATACTTTCTATCAAGTAAACACCAAGTGGAGAGCTGACATGTACTTTAATGCTGGCTGTGGCTTCAATACTTCCTGACAAATATGTAACAAGTGAGGAGTTGGAGTGTACACCAAGGCGTGTTTTCATACGTTTGCTCATCATCTGTACTTTATTTTATTTTTGTATTGAGACACTCTGCATTTTTTTAAGCCTATATCTCATCTTGTTGATATTTACTTAGTTTAAAATGTATATACAGTATTAGACATTTTGCTAATTAACCTTCTTTTGCTATTTAGAAAATTCTACAACTTCTACCTGAAAGGATTTTCTACCGCTGGCAGTACCATAGTATAGGTGGGTATTCTGAATTAGTAATCCAATTTCAGAACTATTTTCCTTTTCTTTTTTTTTTTTCTTTTTTTTTTTTTAGCTTGTTTTGACATGACTATACAATCATATGACCTTTGCAGCTGCTAAAAAACATTAACCTGCTCTAAAATACATTGGGAGGTTTTTTTTAAACTAGAGCAGCTGATTGGTTACTATACCAACTATACTCTCTTCAGCTTGTTCAGTTAAATGTTGAAAATGAAGGCTGGAAGCTGATTGGTTGTCATACACAGCTGCTCCAGATTCTGTCTGCTCCAGTCTTAAGGTGCCCATACACTGCTTGATTCTCGTACGAGAATCAAGCGGTGTGAACGAAGACGTGCGACTGTTTCTACTGTACGGTCGCACATCTTTTGTCTAAGGAGCACGCTAGAAAACAAGCCGAAAATCGTACGATTTTCGGCTGGTTTGAACGGTGCTCGGGAGACAAATGCCGAACGGGCCGGTGTGCGCATGGTTGTAAAGTGTATGGCCACCTTTTAGTAAATTCCCTTCATTTGTTTTCTCCAACGTAAAACCTCTAATTACAAGCTCAGATTTAGGACTAACCTACCACGTAAAATAAAACTGACTAAAATCTTTGTAGTTTCCCTTTAAGCCACTCAAATATTTTAGTGGAGAGGGATTAGAAAACCTGTCGGGTTTTATTGTTGTCCATTCCTGTTAGGGGAATTCATCCTTTCTATTTGCCCTCCTGACCGTTATCACTGATGGCGAAGGTGAAAAGAAATTCCAAATTTTGGGTCGTCATCAGAACAGGAAGATATGAAAAATCTTCCAATGGGGACACTAGTTCTGATCTCTGTCTCTGACCATCAGAGATTTCCCTTACTTTTGAGGGATTTTCTCTCATTCCTGTTTTGACTATTGAGCAGTAAATGAAGGGAAATCTTCCCAATGGGACACAGATAGTTAAAAAAAAAAAAGCTGACAGTGGTTATAACGCTGCCTTAAGTTACTAGAAACAAAAGTTTTGGCTTCAGATCTACTTTAAGTGCATGTAAACCTTAAACCTATTGTATCATGTTTTGCATCATGTCTCAGTGTATACAGGTTCCTAAGCAACTTGGAGTTTGTTGCAAAGTCTCTGACCTGAAGATCCTGCCAGTAAGAGCATTTCCTGTTACTACCTCTCAGAAGCAGCAGCATTGTCAGTCTGCTATGTGCGCTCCTTTAGCTGGCTGTTGGGCTGCCTTTCAGGTATTTCAGATAAGGAGCCCAACAAACAACCAAAGGAGAGCAGACAACAGACTGACAATGCTGCTACTTATTAAGAAGGGGCTTAGCATTGTTATTCTGGAACAGGAGATGCTGTTACTGACTGTTTTCTTAAAAAAAAAGCAAGACCTGATGCCAGACATACTGTAAAAATAGATTTGGGGTCACTAAAGCTTACACACTAATTTTCAGATTGTGTATTTAATGTTAGTTATTAGCTTGAGAAGCTTATTCAGACTGGTCTGTGACGTGGTGGATGCCGGTGCCCACCAATCACAGGCTGCGCCCTCCAAGGTCGGAGATCTTAATTCGAAAACATGGAAATCTAAGCCCTGAAGTGCTCCATGGTTTGTCTTTTCAGGAATCAAGTAAAGTTGGATACATTTCTAAGTGAAGTAGAAATTATATTTAAATCATGGAAATGCCTTTTTCACAGTCCATTTTAAAATGTGTTTTTGTTAGAAAGGAGAGTGTGTCAGTGTGACCTGCATTTTTTTCAGCCGTTTGCTGAGCTTGCAGGAATATACGTGTGTGGACATAATGGCTGGAAATGGAAGGTCAGGGGAAATTAAGTTGTGTCGTTGGGAAGACTAAAGCATCTGTACTAGCTTCTTGAAAGCTTCTTCCTTCCTGTGCATGTTTTTTCATTATCTTTTTAGAAAAAGCACTGAAGCCCTAGCCCAGTGTTTTCATCTAAAGGAACATTTCATATGTTTAGGAGACTGGAATCCTATTCTGTTTTTCTGAACAGCCTTTCCCAGAGGGCCTTCAGACTCTTTGGGTTCTATGCTCACACTCTTTTGGTTATCTTTGTGTCCAAGTGATTTTGACGTTTTTAAATGGATTATTTTCCATAGTACTTACATTTACAGAATTTTATGGCTTCCTTGATTTACACATGAGAAGTGAAATGAATGATGACAGACTGATCAAACGTCACTTACCTGAGTAATATAGGAGAGCAGTGGAGAAGGATAGGCTAGAGAGATCTGGCCCATGTGTATTTAGCTTATTCCTCAGTATCCATGCCACCAGTGTTCTGTAAGCACAGTTCACCCTGACAGTATCCATGCCGCAAGTAAGATTTTCACTCCAGCATACACATTTAATTCTCTAGTAATGTATATGTACCACCAGCATGATCTTCACTGAATCATACACTTTCACCAGTATCTATACCACCAGTAAAAGCAGCACTTCAGCATACACATCTCTCCACAGTATCCATGCCACCAGCAAGATCTGCACTGCATCCTACTCCCCAGTATCCATGCCACTCAAACATATACATTTCCATGCCAACAGTAAGATCTGCACTGCATCCTACTCCCCAGTATCCATGCCACTCAAACATATACATTTCCATGCCAACAGTAAGATCTGCACTGAATCCTACTCCCCAGTATCCATGCCACTCAAGCATATACATTTCAATGCCAACAGTAAGATCTGCACTGCATCCTACTCCCCAGTATCCATGCCACTCAGGCATATACATTTCCATGCCAACAGTAAGATCTGCACTGAATCCTACTCCCAGTATCCATGCCACTCAAGCATATACATTTCAATGCCAACAGTAAGATCTGCACTGCATCCTACTCCCCAGTATCCATGCCACTCAAGCATATACATTTCAATGCCAACAGTAAGATCTGCACTGCATCCTACTCCCCAGTATCCATGCCACTCAAGCATATACATTTCAATGCCAACAGTAAGATCTGCACTGCATCCTACTCCCCAGTATCCATGCCACTCAAGCATATACATTTCAATGCCAATAGTAAGATCTGCACTGCATCCTACTCCCCAGTATCCATGCCACTCAAGCATATACATTTCCATGCCAACAGTAAGATCTGCACTTCAGTTGTACTCATCTCATTCACCAGTAAGATCTGCCACCTTGATTCCAGTAAGGTGCACACTATGACATACTCCCCAGATGCCGCCAGTAAGATCTGCACTGCACCAAACACATTTTACATCCCAGTATCCTTGCCACCTGCATTCAAGTGTACCCAGCTTTGTAAATCTCAGAACTGGATGGACAGAAATACTATTCCTTTCGCAGCTCTTGTGTAGGTATTTGATCTGTGTATTTAGGAGTTCAGCTTTAGCATCAAACTTAGTTGATTATACTTTTTAGGTTTAGTTTATAAACCTATGAGTAAAACAAGGAGGTGAAGATAATAGTTAAACCATAGCCACCAATTGATTTTGGCTTACAGGGGGTCTGCTAACTTGTTCAGGTTGCTATGAGTTACTACACATTGCACGTTGTCATTGCTCTTTACAGCCTCATGGCATCTCTACTTCTTCTACTACAACTACTACTACACATGGGGGCGCAGGAGTTCAGCAATGTTTGTATTGCAGCACACCATTTCTAAATGTCGGTTCAAGGAAGAGTTCATGTTTGCCAGTCTGTTTCAGGAATTCCCGTTAGATTAATTGTCTAACCTGCTTTAGGAAAGAACTACCTGAAATGTTGCTGTTTTGTCAACTTGCTTTTATTTTTTTAATGATTGTTGAAAATTTTGGTCTTTCAGGTTCAGTTTTAAAGAAGCTTTTACACACTGGAAATTCCATAAAGGTATGAAGACCGGGGAGAGGGGGGGGGCTCCTTTTGTGTATAGAATTATTGGCCGACAAGCGTTCCCATCTTGTTTAATGCTTGCACCAGTGAACAAATTCATTTTACTCTCGATTAGTTTTTGCAATGATTAGACTTGTACTAAATGCATGCTTTATATTTTGGCCGAATGCAGGATTGTTTTTCACAAAATTCTAAATTGAAGTTTGCTTATTTAAATTGGAACAAGGATAAAAAATATATGTTTTTACTTTTTAGTTATTAGCTGTTTCTCACTTTTGATCTGTTCATAAGCATTGCTATTATATGTGCGTTGTGCATTGTAATAAACTTTGGATAACTTTGTACCACCATCACTGCCCTTGCAGTTTTCAAGTCTCACCTTTATTATTAAATGTTACCATGTTTGCCACTGACCTGCATAGTCAGCAAAATTCAGGATGTTATTCAGTCCGGAACACCTAATAATACAGTGTGCGGAAGTATCTGCTTCTATATGTATCAGCATGTTTTGTTCTTTTTTGGTATGTGCACAGAGGATGAGTTTTATCGGTGGTACATGTACCAGACTTTCCATACTCCTGTCCGGCCTCTAATATATAGCCATTTAGGTATAGCGGCCCCAGACCGCATTCACTGGAGCAGGGTGAGGCTTGTGTGAGATGTATATAAAATTCACCTTATGTGTTACTGTTTTAGAGCAACAGCAGAAGCCATTTTTTTTTAAACTTTGGATAGAGTGGCGAGTGATTAGAGCACCTGTCAGGTTTTTATTGCTGTCTGAGAGATTCACCCTCTCTATTGGTCCTAGTGACCATTATCACTGAAAGTGAATTGAGACCCCCGTTCACACCGGGGCGCTTCGGCCGCACTGATCCGCTGACATGAACGATCCCATACATTGCTATGGGGACCCTTCATGCGACTGCGCGATCGAACGACTCCCTGCACTATTTTTACTGCGCTGATCAGTGGGGTTTCCATACAGGTTTCAATGGTACCGCACGGTTTTGGGCGTTTTTAATTGCGTTTCAGCGCTGAAATGCAATTTAATAACTCTCTGGTGTAAATGGGTCACCAGAATAGGAATAGATGGTAAATCTTCCACTGGAGACACTAGTTCTGGTGACCCTGCTGGCCACCAGGGATTTCCCTATTTTTGGAGGGGCTTCCAAAGTTAGCTACAAAGTTATCAGGTTAAAAAAAACACAAGTCCATCGAGTACAACTTAGAAAAAAAAATGAGAAAAACCTCCATAAACAGAACCCTAGGCCCACAGTTACCCCCAGCTGATCCAGAGGATGAAAAAAACACCTCCTGAATCGTGGTTCAATGTGCTCCAATGGAGAAACATTTCTTCCTGATCCCCCTAAGGCAATCGGTTATTCCGTCGATTGACAACCTCTGGCATTTTAATGTAATGTAAACAGGTAGTGGCAACAATACTGGCTACAGGTAATGGCAGCAAAACTGGATTGGATGTAATTTATTATGAATTACCAAATTGATGTTGGTTATAGTATCCATGTACTTTTCAGAAAGTTACTGAACCTTTGACAAGTCATATGAGGACATTTCCCCCTGGAGCATACAGTCTAATTTTGTAGCTAGTGTTCCATTCTGTAACCAATAGAAGTACCCCCATTTGGTGCTGGCCATTTTCCTGTGTATAAAGGTGCCCATACACCGTACGTAAAGGTTGGTTAAAGGAAATAGAGCTATTTTTATTCTCGATTATTTAGCCATACATAGTATAATAAACAATATGTCAGTCTGCTTTCGGAAGACTGAAGAAGTGAATAAAATGTAAACTGTATCATAGGTATTAGATGCGACTCTGATACTTGGCAAATAAGGAAGTTCTGTGCACAATGGCCTTAATTGTGTCAGTCAAATTCATCTGTGTTACAACACACAGACAGGATCAACAGGGTGTGTAATGAGGTTAGGTAATGTTAGGGGTAACTTGTATCTTTATAATGGGGCTACAAAGCTAAATGAACAGAATGTTTGTTTATTTTGAACTGCCTCAAACATCATTGTGCCTGTGTGCAGAGATCAGACTTTTAGTGGTTGCTGTACTTGTGCTTTATTACATGACTCTCAGCTTCTTTATTACTGACCATCTGTCATCCTGCACCTTGCTGTCATCACCGCCCTTCTCCTTTGAGCTGTGATGTCACCTCAAGAAAATGTCACTGTTGTTCCACAGCCTGCACTCCTCCCTTCCCTTATGCAAACTATAGGATCTTCTAAAACACGATACCTAGTGTAACTTAAAGGGGAAGCGTGACATTTGTCGATAAGGAAATGTGTTCATCTTAAATGTTTGGTTTTGGATTGAAATAAGGGGTTATGATACTTTTTGTCTGAAGTCATTTAAAATTGAAAAATAGAAATATGTTAATTGTAGTCTTCAAAGTTAAATAAACTAAAGAAATAACATATTTATACGATTTTAAATGTTAAAGTGTCTGTCCAGGTAAAAAACTAATGTTCTGGATAATGAATGGGGAAGATTTAGAAGTTTTTTTTTATTGTTACCTGGGGCTCTGTTAGAGAGATTTCCCCTCCTTTTCTGTCCTGCTGATAACGTGTTAGCAGACATGAAATTAGGGTAGGTCTGCAACAGCAACACAGACACAAATTAAAATGTTTTTCCTTATAAAGCATTTGTGATTATTGTTAGATTTTTTTCGTGCCTTCATCGAACCATCGTTCGATTTCTGCTCGAATACCCCACCATGCACAGACAAATGTGGAATTCAATTAGCTCTCGTTCGAAATACTAACTGACCGAATGTTGTCGATTGACAGAACGGATTTTCGTTTGCGCATGTGCAGTGTTCGGCCCGGTTCACACCTGGGCGTTTTGTAGCGCGTTCGTACGCTCTGCAAAACGCTCAAACACCGAAATCTCATTGTTTCCTATGGGTATGGTTCACACCTGGGCGTATTTCAGGCCATCTGAACGCGCTAAAAAACGCCCTACGCCCAAAGAAGTACAGGAGCTTCTTTGGGGCGTATTTGCCGCGCGTATCTATTGGGATACAGCCAGGTAGCCCTTGGAAACGCGAATCGTGGTAAAAACGCACGACAAACGCGCATATTCGATACGCCTAGGTGTGAACCCAGCCTTAATGTTGCGATATTTTTTGGACCAAAATGCCACTAATCCATCGATTTTTCGTACGATTTGAAAAAAGTTTTCCAGCCTGGCCGGTGAGTTGTACAGTAATTGAGATAGTTGGCTTCCCATCAACTGGTGTATGGGCACCTTAAGCGTAGGGGGAACCCCTATCAGATTTCTGTCTGTGTCCCTGTTGCAGATTTTCTCTCATTTCCTTTCTAGTGAAACTGGTGTAAGCAGGGCAGGAAGTGAGGAGAAATCACTCAAATGGAGCCCTGGATAGCTGTAATAACCCAACAGAAGTTCTAATCCTTCCTTTCCAAAACTAGAAAAATAAGTTTTTGGCTTGATATACACTTTAATATTCCTTTTTCTATTTTTTATTTCCGTCACGAACATTTGTAGAAAATATTTGCTAAATATAGCGGCTTGAGGCAGATCTGTCCCCTGCGAAATAGGAGCGTGGAGAAACACTCGACAGCGGTTGTATTTCAAGGGCAAATCTTATGTAGAAATAACCGTTTGGAGAACTCCTGCTGCCTTAGCACAAGAGGCAGTTATTTTATAGTTTGAGATACTCCTGAAAATATGGCTTTCGGATGGCAGTGATGTCACCCAGAGCACTTTAGTGCTCAGTTTTCATAAAAGTCTGGTTTCAAGCCAATTAACTAACAGATTTCACAGCATGATACCAAGAACAGTTAAACCATTCATATCTGTATTGAAGTTAACAATTTAATGGCGCTCTTTTTTAGTATCTAATAGTTATTATAACAGTTTCTTCTATCTCTCAATTCCGCAACCTTTCCATTCCTCCTGTTTTTTTCAGTCAAAAGATTTGTATTATTTTAGTTGTTTTCTGTTTAGAACAGGTACTGGTGGGTACAGTTCAAAGTAAAGTGTATACATGCAAGTATTAAAAGTAACAATAGCAATTGGGGGGTACCATTTCAGCATAAATTAGAACAAGGGTATTATATTTCATTTAGTAAAGCAGAAAGCCTGGGAGTATTCTGGGAGACACTGAATCCAAATTAACCACCGCCGTTCTGTAGCGAGAATGGCAACGAAGCGTAATTATATGCTGAAAATGTAAGAAGTGCTGTGTAGAAGAGGGCGGGGAGTAAGTGTGGGAGAGAAAAGAATAACTAAAGAGAAGAAAAGAAAAAAATAATGCGCGGGGAGATAGAGGTTTGAGGGAGAAAAAAGTAAGGGGGTAGAGAATGGGAAAGGGAACAGATCTGGATGGAAATGATCTGGAAAATTAGGCATGTTTTATGTTTCAGCTTCCTCTCCAGGAGTGGAGTGTGGAGGTGTATAGTTTGAACAGAGCTCCCCTACGATACATTTTTAAGAATTATGGGGTTAGGGCAGGTTCAAGGCATTAACGAGGTGTGTATTTAAAGCTGATGGTCTATTCTTGGGTTCCAGATTTCCCAAAATTTCTCCTCGACCATTTCTTAATTATGCAACTGTTTAGAGTAAAAATCTGTTGCATCCTCATTAGAACTTCACAAACATTGTGCACAGGTCTGTAAACCCATTGCAGAGACTTTGCAAAGTTAGAGGCAACCTGATTTCAACTAATGTCACCAATTTCCTTGATAAATGTCCCCATCATATGTGACTATGTTTGTATATTGCATGCATAAGAGAGTTGGGGTCTTCCACCTGTTGGATTTGACATTTTTTAAATATATATTATGGAGAATGCAACAAGAGGGATGGAAATAAAATCTGTGGTAGCATAAAAAGTGAGACTTGACAGCAGACAAAGAGCATACCAAGCAGAACTGGGAACTATATAGAGGGAAATTACAAGGCTACTGGTGACATAGACCATTTTATTCCAGGGGAACACATTGCAGTTAGAGACCCTGTTAGGTCTCTTTAGAAAATGAAAACACAGTTTCCTGTAAGCAGACCGCTGTTATATGCACCTCTACGGTGACCTGTGACTCCCCATTATGGATTTTTCAGTGGTGATAAGTAAAGCTGATAGTAAGAATTGACTTTACAGTAGCTGTATGATGAATGATGACACTGTCTTCTAGGGATTTATAGGACCAGCTTTAACTGAGCACATAAAGTGGCTTAATAAACTGTGTCAAAATATGTCACCAGGTGTCTGCATTCAGAATGCATGTTTTAAACATTGAAACCAATTAGATAACTGCCAGCACATAGGAAAATGGGAGCATCTGATGATCCTTACAAGCCTCTCCACGTGCATGTTTCATCTTCTTGCTGTGCTCTTGCATGTATAGTAACTTGCACTGTATTTTTGGCACTCTCATCTATTTCAATGAAAATGTCTTTCATCCTTTAGATACGATGTGAAGGAATGCGGCTGTTTCTTCTCTGGCTTCAAGCACTGCAAACAAATTGCGGAGAGGAACAGGCGCTAATATTTGCATGTCTTGTTCCTGGCTTTCCTGCCGTCATGTCATCTCGAGGTCCTTGCACACTGGATACCCTCATAAATCCTACTTATAATTTACCCGATGGTTAGTGACAGTGCTTTTAACTGGATTGCTGATTTGGTACAGTTTACTATAACCGTACATTAGTCAGCCTCCTTGTTTTGCTGCTGCTTAAAAAGGTGCTAATTAAATTATCGATTTTATATACGCAGCATTTTCTTTATCTTTAAAATACCTCTGACTGTTCCACTGTAGCAATTCATACCAGGATGCGTGGTGTGGGAATAATGATTTTATCATCTATTGGCATGTAATCCATGAATAAACTGCTGTTTTATATAGTCTCTAGTGCAAATATGATGCAATACAAAGGTAATTACTACAGTATGAACTAGAAGGAAACCTTTAATTAGATCGGTGTGCTTTTTTTAGTTGCATAATACTACATTTAAATTGCTGCTGGGGTTCTACATAGCCACTGGGCAAGGATTAATTACATGCACATTTTTGACATGCTGTTACATTTTGTAACATTATTTATGCTGAATAACAAGACTTAAAGAAGAACTCTAGACAGAGACTTTTGCACAGTTACTTGTAGCAGAGCTGTCAGGTTCTCATAATTTAGCAGATATCCAAGCAGACATAAATAAATCACCAGTTAATGCAGGCATGTGTCAATTTAAAAAACAAATTGGTTATTCTTAAGAAGCAATTTAGTGTTGGAACTGAATCCCTTTTTGACTGCAATACATGTAAATGTGAATTGCCCCTTGCCATGAGAAGGTTAATCAACTTTGCAGCAGAATATGTGAAACTATGTCTGTTCCTAGTTCTCGGGCGGTCAATCATAAAGTTATTTTTACGTTAACACATGCCAACACTGCTAAACCTGGTCTGGGCATCTAAGCTTAAAAAGAAAAGAAATACAAAAAGAAAACTCTGGGCACAAAAGGGTTACATTTGGCTTTTTGCAATTCCCTGTACAGCAGAGCTCAGCCTGCAAGAAAGCAGCACAATGTTTTTTTTTTAGTGCTTCTATGCTAACCTATGCTAACATGCTGACAGCAAAAAAGAACAGAACGAAGTGTTTATCAGTCGGCCTCTTCTGCCTTGTTTTCCAATCACATGCTGGAGCAGGAAGGTAACCTAACTGTGTTGCTCAACTGCAGTAGAGAAAAAGTATCTCATATAAATATATCTGCATTATCTTTCCTGACCTATAAAGGAAGGAAAGTCCCTTTGTTTGTGGGATCAGTGATCTGTTCTGTTTCTGATTCAGAATAACATGCTGGGAGGGGATCAGTCATAGAGTGCTTCATTTCACATGTGTAGGACTGTCAGACCCATGGAGAGCCAACAGAAACAGTGGCATTTTACATTTTAGATACAAATAGCACTTAACAGTTCTTCTTTAATACTTCTCACTGCTTGCGCCTACTGACACAAATGTGATTTCAAATATATTCTATTACTGATGTCTTCTTCGTTTCTGTTTTAGGTAAAGTTTACCCTGAAGAGATAACCCCTCTTTTGCCAGCTGTGTCTGGTGAGAAAATTCCTGAAGATCCAAGCTGCTATTTCTTACAGATGTTACTGAAATACATAGTAATACAGGTAAGATCCTTTTTAATAGCATTTCTCCAATCTCTAGCAAAGGTGCTGGTGTGCATTGCCCCGCACAGTGTTGATGTGCTGATCTCAGCACAGCCCCAATGCATTTAGTGTGAATGGGCCCTAGGTGTGAAAGCTAACCCATCACATGAGTTGGTTCTAAGTTTCTGGTCCCTTTTACAGGGATTCCTTCCTTGCTTCTGTGCTTCTCCAGCACCGAATGGAGCTACAGACAGGGGATGGGGCGAGTACAGCTGGCTCTGAGCCATGCACTGATGGGCAAAGCCAGCCGCCAGTTAGGCATTCGGGATAGATTCCAACAATATTGGCGGAATGCTTCTCAACTGCAGCATGGCTCTGCACTATCAGCTGGTAGCAGGCATAAGTCCGCTATCTGCTGACGTTGGGTCACAGGAGTACATTAGTAAATGTATTCCTGTGACCCAAGAGAAGGGTAGTCAAAAAAAAGGTTTGTCTTTACTTTTTATGAAGAACCTCTCTTATAAGATTCAGCCATTATTTGGTTTATAATAGGATAGCATATGCTGTGACTTTAGAACTCCCTTAAATTCCAAATAGCCTGCATCACAAGATGACAGTACAATAAAAGCCCTGAAAGGACTGTCGAAGTTCCCATGTAAATTCTGAGTTCAATAGTTACAGTATGTAGGCATGCCAGCCCCCCATTCTCAAGTGACAGAGCATTACTTAAGCATTACACATTCATAAAGTGGGACTCAGAAGCAAGTGGAGGACAATGAAAATGAATGAAGAACGCGAGGGGAAAGAGTGGGAGAGCCCAGTCATGTGATCTGTCAATCATGTTGTCAGCCACTCTTCCAAACACTTGCAAACACCTAACATACACTGAATATCAGGCAGTAGAGTTATAGCCTAGTCAGCTCCCTATCTTTGCGCTGGGATCTCCTGCTTTGACACTGTTTTTTTTTCTCACTTGAGCCGTGCTTTTATTGACATTATCAAATTATTTTCTCACAGACATTGCTGGGAGCCAGTCAGAGTGGCTTTTACTGATTGATCTTCCTGATTGGCCAGAGATACCACGTGACAGTGCAGTGCACTGACTTCACTTAAATTAACAAATCTAATGTTCAGCATTGTTCCACAGTTTCTAATCACAAACCAACTTACTTTTACCAGTTTAGTATCTCACATAATCAGGAAAAGCAGGGAAATATATAAAACAATTGTAGCAGGGCAACGAAAACGAATGTAAAATTTTGGAGTAGAACTGTAAATGTGTTTGTTTTTTTTTTACATGTTTCTCAATTTTATTTTCCTGAACATCAAACATTAATCTGTTTAGAAAATATTATCTTCATCATTTGTTTCCTTCATTTACGAAGTTAACCAACCTTTATAAACCTGTACTTGGTGAGTATCTGTACAACATATCTCTGCTGGCTCATGTATATTTGTCTATTATTTCTTTTGACGTATACTATGAATTTATGGAGCATGGAGACGGCTTCCCGGCTAATTGGGAAGCCGGGCAGCGAGTCATTATACGCTGCCCGGCTTCCTTAATGGGATTTCCGGTATCGACATTCAGGATCAGCAAGTACTGAAATAAAAATATCGGTTGTAATGTCTTCCTCATATTGTAAAGCGCTGCGCAAACTGTTGGCGCTATATAACGCCTGTATAATAATAATACTACTGATAAACTGTTTCAGTAATGACATACATGACTCCATTTACTAAGCTATGTTTGCCACAACATGCATTATTTTGCACCATGTGACTGTTATTTTCAGCCCTCACTGGCTCTTGTTATTCGAATGGTAATGACAATCATTGTTATAGATTGGTGAATGGGGACTATAATAATTTGAGTTCCAGTGCACTGGACATCACTATTACTCCTTGTACTTTATAAAAAAAATAGCCAATGCATGCATTCGCTGATATAGATGCAGCAGATACTTTATAGCCTGCTACATAAAGACGGTTCAATCTATTTGGACTTTGTTTTTCATTAATGGAGTGTAAACACAAAAACATGGCAATTTGTAGGGACTTGGAAGAAATCCAGTCACCTGCAGAGCATGATACAATAATGCCCATTGTTTTCTGATCTCGGGGGAGAGTAAATAACATGAAAGTAACAAAGTCTTTCTCTGTATTTCAGATATTCCTGATGTCAGACCAAAGCCAGTATATGTCACCTCAACCCGTAACAACGAAAACCACTATAGCACAAAAATCCCACACATGGCAGCTAGAGTTGTGTTTATTAGGTGGCTTGTCACTTTCTTTTTGGAAAAGAAATATGTAGCATCTTCACAAAGCACTAAAAATGGAGGAGATGTTCTGCCGAAACTTATCCAGGTATGTGATATTGTCCCTGGTACTATGCAAAGCATCAGGACACATGCATCAAAGTACACCTGTGCTCCGACTATGGACATTATAGTTTTTAGATATTCTTAACAAGCAGTAAAAGATTTTAAAAACAAGCCCTTACTGACCTCTCTAGCTGCTTGTACTCTGATGTAATTAATTCTCAGGCCCATTCACACATGAGCTGAGCATCTTGTTTGGGCATTTGTGCAGTTGTTTTTGTGCATGTTTCAGGCTTGAGTGTTATTTAAATAGTTTTTATTGGCTAAAAAAAAAAAAATCTACTAGACAAGAAAGCACTTGAAAAATGTGAGTTACGTGCATTTTTAGCATTATGCTGGTGCTCCTGTTAAAACAATCGACACTGCCCCAAAAAAAGTTCACATACTTTAGGGAGCTACAGGCATTTTGCTGCAAGTGACTAAATGTTCTGATATAACAGAGGCTATGGAAAACAATAGGATCCCTCCCGTTGAGCTTTGTACCGTTTAGGCATTCAAGCTAAAAAATGCTGAGTTGTCAAAGATGACAACAAACACCTTACAAACACCTGCTGTGTGTTTACCCTAAAGGGTTGGCAGGCCGTCAAGACGTCTATTCCATTAAAAATAAAGAGTAAAGGGAAAAAAAAGCCATTATTTCAGTGCCTCTGTTGTGAACTTTGAAGATGAATTTATCCACAGTGCCTTTAGTTACAGAGGGGGATGAGTGCTTGTTTTAAAGTGCTTTTAATGCTTGTTTAGTTAGTGTAAGTGCTTTGATGTGCATATTCTGGGGACAGGTTTACTGCAGATCATCTTTTAGAATAGCTCCATTAATAACATTCACAAACGTACACAAACATTTAAAGAGAATGCTTTGTATGCATTTTAATGTTCTGGGAGAAAAACCAAAAAAAAATATTTTTTTTAGTTAAATAGAAATATTGCTTATAATACGCATGTATTATTTACTGCTGGCAAGTGGAGCTCTAGGCTCATTTTTAACGATTTACCAGGCTTACCTTAAACTAAAGCTTGCCAAATTTGCTTTGAATCTAGGAGACAGATAAAAAAAAAGTTAGGAGCCCGTTTTTTTTTTTTCAGACTAGCAAAGCTTTATTTTCAATAACAGTTGTCACTTTCAATTACAATTCTAATTGGCACACGCATCGATAACTGACGTGTAGTGCAATGGTCATTTTCATACGTTGGTGCATCAGACTTGTGTTAGTATGCACGCTGGGAGGGAGACTTCTTTTTTTGGGGGGGGTATTTCACAGAGCATCAGGGATTGAAGGGGACACAGACTGTAGCATGAGCGGGCTACCAGCGCGGAGGAGAACAGGGGTGGGGGTGGGGGTTGACAGAGCTGATGCGGCGGCTGGAACTGCATATCTGGGGCATCGGGCAATAGGTATTGCTCACTCTTGGTGCAAGCGGTGAACAGGCTGACAAAAGCCCAGGTGCCAGGACACATTTTCTAGTTGCCATGGTGACCCGGCGCTTGGGATTTGTCAAGCCCTGCCTTAAACCTTGTCTGAAAATGAAATTGAATTTCAAGACTTGCCCTGCAGTAGTGTATTTGCATACCTCTACTGCTGCCTGCGCCACCAAATGCTTCTCTGTTGATGAGGAACCGTCCCCCAAAGCCTGTTGGTAAACCTGTTTTCTGGGATTGTCGATCGCCTGTGTCCTCAACAGTGCTCAGTGGTTTCTCTTCACGTCACTACAGGACACATTAGTGACATTTTTGTAAGCAAATATTTTTAATCAGATTTATTTTTGCGACAGGGTCAGTTAAAGACAATTATTTGGTTATTTTTTTGTTTTTGTGATTGATGGATTTTTTTATTTATTTCTGTATGTGTCTTCACTAGGGAGTTTCATCTTCTTTATTTATCCTGCTGAGCATTGCCTCCATGACCGCAATGCCAAAATTTTGATTAACTGGCAGAGGAAATCTTTTGCATCTCGAGCACAGGAAATGTTTGGCAGAAATACCACTAAAAAAAAACCAAAACAAAACCCCAAAGATTTATGTTTAGAATAACATTCACAGAACTAAAAGACCAAGCTCAATTTACATACACAGGTACACAATCAGATGAGCAACTTCACCTGCTCTGCTCAGACTCAATTCGGGATTCACAAAGGGAACGCTATTAGTGTGCTCACTCTTTAGAAAACCCAAAACCCACATTAAAACTGGTTAACAGATATACCCTAACAAATCCACAAATATTTGTAGGATACAAGATTTTATACAAAAAAAATGACATTAAATATTAGTGTAAACACCTGTACATCGTGGTTATTTTTGTCTTTTGGTTGAACTTGAAATACTTGTGTAACTAGTTATGTAACTATAAACAAAACTGTGTGAACATCAAAAACTATAACGATTATAGGTGGGGGACACAGGCATCTGCCACTTTCAGATGTGTCAAATGCCAAAGGCTGCAGACAGGCTGAATGTAAACAACGTCATGTTTACGCTGACTTGAGATTAGTAATAATATCAACTAAAGCTCAGGATAAGAATAACTAGAGGTGATGGATTATTTACCTTATTTAAAGGAGAACTATGACATGAGTGATTTCCACTCACCTCATAGTTCTAAGCCGACCTGTGACAATGAGACTGTCACAGGTCGGCTCAGTAGATCGGGAGGTGAGGGAACACATACCGGGTTCCCTCACCTCTCGATCCTGTCACGGCTCTCTGCCATGGCAGGGGGAGGGGCTGGATTCCCCTCTCCCCGCTCCGATCTGCCAGCGCTGACTGGCGGAACGGACAGGGGAGGGGGCGGGTACAGCTGGCTCTGCCTCTAGATAGGCAGAGCCAGCTGTCACTCACGCAGCTGGGCGGATGCCGTCATCTAAGTCGGGATCCGCTCCAGGTGCGGCGTCTCAGTATACCGCGAGCTGTAGCTCGCGGTATACTGAGCTTAGGGTAACGGGAGGTCGCTAGTTGGTGTCCTCCTGTTACCCCAAGGAGAACTAGGGGAAAAACACTGACCCCATAGTTCTCCTTTTAACAAAGAGAGCTGATTCTTAGGTGAAAAGTTATAAGTTCAGTAGCCCATAGGAAGCAGAGTTCATCTACTCCTGGTCTGACTTCACAAAATAGAGTTCTGATTGTTTTTTTCCAGAACCCTTTATTAAAGATAACATTACAATTGCCAAGGTTCATGTTGCTACTGGATACAATAAAGTGCTGAACAGGGCTAAGATGCTTCATATTTGACCTCAAGCTCAGAGAAGATGATGAGACTTCTAGGAGGTTCTGTTTAAGAGAGTACTCTTTTATTTATTATTTGTATTTATACAGCGCCTGATAATTTACACAGTGCTCTACATAGTGCACATTTTGTTGTAGCAGGCAACATGGCTGAATCCAGGAGTACCTTGAAAGTGAAAGAAAGACTTAGGGCAGAACGGTGTGGATTGTATTTCTCTCATTAACATACAATACAGAAGCCAGGGTTGTAATCCTTTAACCCTTTGTTAGGACAGGCGGTGTTCAAATCTGCTTTACAAATTGTAATGAAATCAGCCAGCACAGTACAGACAGGGTTAATACAAAACCCTCCCCACCCATCCTTACATTACAAAGAAGGAGAAGCGCCTAGAAAGGTTAACCAATAAGACGCCAAGAAACCCTAACCCAAGTAAAAGCAATTTTTACTGCAAGAATATTTTTTTTTCGAACTTATGCTGTGTGAATGCGAACGTGTAAAAAATATCAAATAGGTGTTATCCCAATTTGGTTGCAAAAGTGGAAATACATTTTAAAGTGACAAACTTAAATCATCAGAATACATTCAAGTGCCTTAACTAATAACAAAAATGTATCTTAATTGTGTATCACTCGGCTGTAGATCCTCAAATCATCTCTAAATTCATGCTGACACTGTCGTTCCTTCTGGAGGGTGGCTACTTTTGTTCCCCATGGTCCCTGTGTGTGTTGTAAAGTAGTCACCGCCCCGAGCTCACTCCCGTGATGGACTACAATCTTATGTTTAGTTTACTGATTTGTATTGAGATTGTAGTCCATCACGGGAGCTTGGAGTGGTGGCTACTTTACAACACTCACAGGGACCATAGGGAACAAAAGTAGCCACCCTCCAGAAGGAAGGACAGTGTCAGCACCAATTCAGAGATGATTTGAGGCTCTACAGCTGAGTGATTCACAAATAAGATACAGTATTGTTAATAGATAAGGTACATGAATGTATTTTTAAGCTTTTATTTCTGAGTTTAGTGTCACTTTAAGTTGCCATTTTTGTATTCTGACTAGTGTTTGGAAGAACTCCGAAATGTTGCCTTGCAGCATTGTACACCACACTCTGCTACTGTATGAAGGTGGTAAAACATTTCTACCTTCTAATAACTAAAATGGGGACGCCATCCTGCGTTTGCTTAGGAAGTTTGCATCTTCATTGTGCCTGCACCTCTTTGTGGGAGCTTTCTCTGGGCTATATTCCGTTATGAAAAAAGTCTGGATAGTTTTCCTTTTTTATTGTATTTATTATTTCTATAAAACAAGTTTTTTAATTACTCTAACACTGACTAATGGGCAGCAGCCCACAGGCACAACTGTATTGTGTTTATTGACATGACTTGAGTAGGCTTCTAGTGCAACCCTAGGGGTTTAATGTGTTTTCAGTAGGATTAACGCCTTTCACAATACAGTAATGTTGTTTTAAAGTTAGAATGTCTAAAATTGAACAAGCCATTTGAGGTCAGATGTCTGCAGGGATGCAGATAAAATTAGTGTGGGAAGCTGAAAAGTTCTATAATTGTATCGTAACCTAATTTAGGATTTTTCTGACTTGTCTCTGGCTACTCATTCTGCAGCTTTAAAGTGCATCTAAAGCCAAAACGTTTTAATTTTCTTGGGATAGAGTAAGGAAGACCCCCCCCTTTTTTGTTTTTATGATATTTGGGGAGATTTTCCTTCATTTCTTGTCTAGAGACACAACTAGAACTGAAAGAAGAAAATGATTGTCTGTCTGTAGAAGGTCATAACATATGATATAAGATATAACATGTGCCTTTGCATGCCCTGCATAGACTGTATCCATGGTTAATGTGAGTCAAGAGAAGAACCCAGAAGCGGAACCCACAGGGGCACCAGAACAGGAGAAGAACCACTCAAACAGCAGCACTTTGTCAGACCGAAGACTCAGTAACTCAAGCCTTTGCAGCATAGAAGAGGAACACAAGGCTATGTATGACATGGTGCAGAGAATCCTTCTGTCCACACGGGGATATATCAATCTCATCAATGAGGTCTTCAGGCAGGTGAGTGCGGCATTACACCTGTTGTTTTTTTTTTTTCTGAGGGCAACCGTGCACACTTCATTGTCTAAGTGTTTTTGTGTTTAACATGACCACATAATACATTAAACTAGAGAAAATGTTACAGCATTTTTGTAAAAACCAACACTTTTTTTTATTTCTCATCAATGCAGCACTGTATTTATTTCTACCTTTTTACCTCTACCCTAAATGTATTTTTAGATTCAAGCAGTGTAAGTGATTATATTTATTTGGTATCAGACTCATGCAATCACCTTTACAGCAGAGCTCAGACTCAGTACAAGGAGCCAGTCAGTTGTGCTGCAGTGCTCCATGTACTAACAAGGAACATGCTAATAGTAGGATAGAGCAGAGAAAGTTGAAATAATGCGTGGTTCTCTTTTCACTGTCAAGTCATAAATTGGATGAGGGAAAAGACTTATACATGTTACTTAACCCCTTCGTGACTGACGACGTACAGTGTACGTCGCCAGCATCGGGGCTGTTTAAACAGACTCCCGGCGACTTTTGCCGCCGGGAGTCTGTTTAAACTTGTAGAGCCGACTGTCCGCTTTACAACAGAAGCGATCCTGGCGACTTACCTGTCGCCAGATCGCTTCTGCGTCCCGAAGAAGGGGCC